TTTTATTTTCATGTTTAAATATGATTAATTAAAATCCAAATTAGTTTGTGTTTTTAAAGTAGATCACATAAAATCTTATAAATCATGAAACCTTAACTTTTATTTACACTTTGCCTGTTCCAATGGTACATAGTCCTGGAAGACAGAATGCAGGGATCCCCAGGCAGAATTCGTCTTGGTGTGACAGGCCCATAAGAGCTGACAGAGTAGGTTTGATTTTGGAATAAATTCCCTGTTCACCTCACCTCTGTCTGGTGGGACTGGAAGTCTGGATGATAACTGATCCTGACATTCACTCATCAGAATTTCAAGCAGATTGGAGAAGGGAATGGGGTTTGCTCTTGGGGGGAGAAAGGACTGTGGAGGGAGAGACAATTTGTCAGGAGACTCTTTGTCAAGCAGCTGAGATACAGCACAGAGGAACCTTTAAAAAGCAAATGCAACAGAGCCACACTGCTGGCCCTGGTGCTGCAACAATGAATAAGAATAACATCCAGCATCATCGGAATGGTACATTAATACTAACGGCGTAAACTGGGAGTACTTCTATCTTCTCTCCTGGCATGTCCCTTTCCCAGATGCTGTTTCCATGGCTGGGGCTGATCAGATGCCATGGATTGGCAAGAAATCCCTTGAGATATGCCCGGCTTGTTGATGAATGCCTCAATAAGAAAAGATTAGAGCACAAACAAAGACCGGGGGGTTGGGGGGCTGGCAATAATTAAACTTTCCCATGTCTGGTCATAGTGGAACTGGTTGATAGAGAGATGGAGACCGCTGGGAGGAGGTAAAACACACAGAGAGACGGAGTTGAAGTGTGGATCGTTGTTCTGTGCTACACTGCCACTCTCAGTGAGCCTCTGGAGATTTTGTGGCCGACGGGATTTTGCTCTCCTGTCACTTCTACACCTGGCTGCCAAGAAACGGGACCGAAAAGACGTGAAAAAGTCGCTGCTACCCATTTTAAGGGGGTACATTTGATTGTTTCTAAGGAGCTGTTCCCTCACTTAGACCAAATCTGACCCTGTTTTGTGTGTGTGTGTGCAGAAAGAAAGCAAATGAGCATTTGCTCAAAAATGTCGGTCATCAAGTTGTCCTCAAACCTTTCATAAAACGCTCATTAGTGTGCACCGCCGTGTTGGAGGGAAAACTGAATGAGAAATGCTTCGTTTTCCAGCACAGCCACAACTACAAAGCCAATAATGGGGACAGGAGCAAAAATAGAGGCGAGTGGAAACCGTTAGGTCGGTAATGACCAAGAATCTCCAGCATTGGTAATAAGGGCATTTTCCCTCAAGCAATACTCTCAATTCAGAAAGCTGTCCTACACTAACGCTCCATTTCGATTCATTTTGTTCCTCACAAATATTTCAGTTTTTGGAAATTCATATACCACTTTATCACTCCTATTGGTACCCCAGCGTTATATCTAAATTCAAGACCAATTACAATTATAAATCCTGCCAAAGTTCCATTTCAGTGGTTCGCTATAATTACAGAATTGATTGTTTGAATTACACCTTTCTGACTCTTGGCCTTGAAGTGCTACACATTCCCATGTTATTGCCTTTTGCGATGGCTTGGGGAAAATAGCAAATCCCATAGCTGTGCAAGAGAAAGATAAACACTGAATTTCTGATATGAGTGGAAGACTTTTTATCCACATGGATCTTTTCTGCCCATGAACATGAGCTTTGAGGGCTTCTGCTAGCAGCTCTAACCACCACAGCTGACCCCAGGGGGACGACTGAGTTCTTTTTGGAAAAAGTGTAATAATCCTTGATTTTCTTTCCTTGAATGTGCAGTTGTGGAATTAGTGTGGAAAAACTGTGTTGGTATTATTGCAACAACACTCAATTTGCATGTTACCAAAGCTGATCCCTGAGGAGAGAACGATCAATGGAAGTTTGATGAGAGTAGAACCAGAGCCAGAGTTGTAATTACTTTGTAGTCATCTGAAGGAGGAGATTAATAACCAGATTAAATCATGCAAATTTCCTCTGCCAAAGCAGCTATCTTTCTGATCAAATGACTCACTTTTACAGGAAACTTGTTAGAATTTTATTATAGAATTTTCTCAGAGCAAATCCAAAACAAAACAAAAAAGAACATAATAGACTTTTTAAATTACTTACAAGCCTATATAATTATAGTCAATTATAATTTGGAGAACCGTACAAATCCTTGTCTTCAGTGACTGACGTCACAAATAAACTGTTTTAATTGGTAAACTGTTTGAACTAAAGGTCTTCTGGCACATGAAGGAACTGCTTGATAAAATCAAATGCAGCCGATGAGGTTTTATTTGTCTTAATTTAGTATAGTTTAGTTTAGCAAGAACTTTAGCCAACCTCTCAGAGGCCAAAGGTTCTTTTATCATTTTTATGGGGTGTCTGACATTGTGGCGATTTAATTTTTAATAAGATGCTTCTCTAGTCAATCACAGTCATGATTGGTGGTCATTGGGCTCAAGGTTCGAAAAAAATGTTCAATGCATTCAAGTATTGTTTTCAAGGCATTTGTGAAACAGAATTTTAGTTTAACAAGAACTTAAATTTTTTGGAAAGATTCCTAATGCATGTGGAAAAAAGAGCGACACAGATCATGAGTGCAGTGACAAATGTAAAGTAGACATAGAAAAATTCAAAAACTTGCAAAAGAAAGACTACATTGAAGTGTCAAGCACTACCTGAGGCCATGAGCCAAGAGTCCGTAACTCAGAGAATGAGACAAAAGTTAAATTACAGTTTTATATTTGGGTCTGAAGAGAGCAAACAAAGCAGTCGTGGAAAGAATGCCGGCCCTATCTGGGGAGTTAGTGTCAAGGCCACGTCAATTAAAAAATGCCCCTCCTGGACATGGCAGCTGTCACAATCGTTTAGGGGAGATTCACCCACTTTCCTCTCATGGACAGCCCAGACACATTTCCATTTGTCGCATGACAGCCAATCACAGGGCCAATCTGTGGCTATAGGACACTTCCAAGATTAGCTCCACCTGAGACACGCAGCATCATAACGATGCCTGTTTATTCTGAGAGACAGAAGCAAGAGAAAAGATGCCTGTAAGAAGATTAAGGAAGAGACACAAATTTCAGTATTCACCTCACAGGATAAAAGATTAAAGGTGAGCACAATTGGATTGAATGAAGAGGAACCTAAGTGGTGCAAAGGTAACTTGATTTGGAATAGGTGCAGCGACACATAACATGGAATAAATGAGTGACACATGATCCAAGGACGGTTACTGTGGCAGAAGCACAGTCAGAAAGATTAGGCCACTACATCTGACATGAAAAACTCAGTGATGTACTTGTCAAAAGGGTTCATCTAATGACATATTGCCCTTAATTAGGTGATCTAAAAACAGAAGACCTTTGCCCAACAGGGTAATAAAAGACGCACAAGCAGAAACGAGGCACATGTAAAGCTACAAAATCAGACACAACCCAGTTTTTGATGAATCAAGTGCCGGTTCCATGTGGATTATGTTGGGGTAATTTTTGTCAAATATATGGTATGGAGCTCTAACATAAAGGCTCTAACATATGATACATGCCTAAAACTAATCGGCCTGGGTTTGCTAATAAACAAGTTAGAGAAATATTCGTCAGAATAGATCAAATTATTTTCTTCTGGGCAAGAAAGGGAACCTTTGGGTATATTTAGTACATGCAATAACAAGCAGACACACGGGAGGATACAGGCAGCTTGATGCTGACTAAGTCTTAGCGGTTTGCCACTGTTACATCACTGTCGAAGCCATATTTACACATCAGAACCCTAGGTCACACGTTGAGCATTTATGTTTCTTGTTTCATAAATGTCCTCATCCGTCTCTTTCACCGTCAGGAACTCAGCACACTCCGATTCACTTGAATCCAGAGGAGAATGCGGATCAGATTCTGCTCATTCCACAGCACTTCACATCCCATCATCAGACGCAAAACGATCATTCCAGACATATAGGCTTTAGAGAAGAAAGTCAATTTTGAGGGAGCCTTCTCACTGTGATGGAATTACAGGGACAGACTCAATAACCTGGTAATTCAACATTTCTGCTTGTTTGCAGCCTGTTAACAACTTGAACACATGCTGAATTGGAGAGGGCATGGGGACCTGCAATGAGATCTCAGGAGAGCTCCAACCAGCGGGTTGTGAATGTCTGGCCACTGTGTGTAATTACAGCTAAAGCCACAGTAGAGAACTAAACTCATAAAGATTAATGACATAATATCTGTAGTAGTGGAGATAAATGACCGTTGAGCCCATGTTACTGTGCTGTTTATAAGTCAGCGCCCTCATCACCGGAAATGCTAGCATACCTTTAATAACCAACATCAACAGCAAAGACATAAAAGTGTGCTCAGCAGCTTTTGTAAGGCTTGGGTACCACTTGTGTTTTGGCAGCTATCTTTAAAAAAGAGGCGTGGTTGATAACGTTTCTTTAATCTGAGCCATGCGTGCCGTTTTTGGATGTGAAGACAGACACAGAGATGAGGGGACACTAAATCAGATCATGACACTGATGCAAGGGAACAAACATTGGAGGTGAGGACAGCAAGGGGCATGTGGGAATGAGACGGGGTGAGATGGGGAGCCCAGAAGGAGGGGCAGTGTCAGGATAAATTGCAGGAAAGGGAGGTGGATCGAGATCAGAGGTGCTGGAGGGACGAGGAGCAAGGCGAAAAATAAGGGATTTAGGGTAATCGAACTCGATTTTGTGAGACTGTTTGTGTATTTGTGTGTTCCCCTGTCTCTGGGGAGTAAGAGGCAATTTGGCAGGTAGGGGTAGTGTGGCTGACACATTTTCCCACCACTCACAGTGCCCGCTGAGTGGTTAAGACTTTAGATTTAGGACACACACTTTGAATAAGGCTTAGATTTGGGAGAGGGTGGGCAGTGATACTGATTTGTCTTATCTATTTGTGGTCGGTGTTAGAGAGAGGGTCAGGGGGATTGTTTATTGTAGAATGTGTGAACGTGTGCGTGAAGGTTAGGGGCAGGAAAAAAAAAAGGAAAAAGGAAAAAAAAGCGGCGGCTGAATTGTGATGCTGAGTGGTGCAAACTGAGAGAGGGATAGAAAGGAAGGAGGGTGGGCTACACAGAGACTCTATGGGGAGATGAATAAAGCTGTGCAGGGAGACGGTGGGAGCCGCACAAACAGTGCAACAACCAGCAGCGTCTCACACACTAAGATCACATATTGGATGCATCTTTGTTTATTGATAAGTGGAAGAAACACTAGCATGCAATAAGAAGCAACTGCAAAGGGAAACCAATCTCAGCCCCTGAAAACACGTGGGCTATAAAAGAAGGCAGTTTGAAAAAAAGAAACAAAGGGGCTGCAAAACAGAAGGCGTGGAGAAGAAAACAGAGGATTAGTGTGGCAAGACCAAAGCAGGTAAGAGACGGTTTGGGGGGGAGAAATGGAAATGTATGGAGATATTTTAGATTAGGAAGATGAAATGTGCAGTTAGATGTTTATTTGAATGTGCACGCCTGAGTGAAGGGAGGAAAACAGTGGAAGAGTAGCAGTTTAGAAAAGGTAGTGCTGACAAGTGGTTTACTCTCTTGTTCAACATATGGCTGGAGGGAAAGATGAAAAAAAAGAATGCCCACATAGAATAAAAAAAAGTGAGGCTCCATCCAAAGCTGCAGAGAAACAATAAAGGAAAATTAAATAGAGATTTTTTTGCATGACTTAATCATAACTAGGTTGAGTAAAAAAAAAAAATGTTTTCTGTTGGCATTCCATTGCTCTCTAAATTTCTTTACATTCATTAGGAATTAAATTATTGTGAATTGCATGACAAATCTAAAAAAACATGGAAGAAATACATTTAAATAATGAATACAAAGATCATTCTAAAGTCTGGAGATGGGTTCATATAAGGAGAGGGAAGGAAAACTAGTAACCATCAAGGATTCCCCGCCATCAGGGGCATGATATGTTATCAGGCGGGCTTTGTGAATAAAACATGAGGAGGTGATCACATTAATCATCAGTTTGCATGGCAAATATTCATGCAAGAGACCGGTAAATTCAAATTAAATGTGCACAGCAGGTACATCAAGTTTTGCCTTTGTGTGCGAAGGAAAGCTGGACAGACAAATTTCATAGCTACTAATATATTAATGGCAGCCGGGAGGAAGGGATCAGTGCAAGATACTATAAGTATTTCACAAGTATTGCTGCAGAGAGGAAGCCCTGGTTTGATACAGGATCAGATGATGAGCACGGCTGCTTTGCTCCACATTTCTCCTTCAACCACTGTTAGAGAGGTGCTATCATCCTTTGCCATGCTGTGGTCCCCTGGAAAACAATAACGTGGAACAGCAGACCGTTTGATATTTTGGCCTTTTCAGCATTCTTCTGAGCAGAGCTGCTGATCCGCGATGTCCATCCAGCTACTGGAGCTTCTGGTCCTGTGCCTGACAGTCCCACACAGGTGAGGCGGTCACTCTCACAGTCACACATACACAAGGACAATGACATTTTCAATTATTCTAACTGTAGCACAATGCTTTGCAGCTCAAGTTATGCTATATCTTACCATCTCTTGTCTTTTATCAGTGGTTGCATGTTCCCTAGCAACCATTGGGGTGAATGGAATGACTCTCAGCTTCAGCCCACAATTCAGAGACTCATGAAAGGATACAACCGCTACCTCAGACCTAATTTTAATGGTATGTAATGTATTAGTTTAATTCAAGTTTGATTTTATTTGTCAAAGCAGCCGTTTCTGGCTGAATCTTCTTGTAAAAGCAAACTAATTTACTAGCTTTCCTATGTCTTTGCTTCACACAGAGGGTCCAGTGGAAATCGGAATGAGTCTTGATATAGCCAGCATTGATGCCATCTCTGAAATCAATATGGTACACCACTGTCCTTTATTTTATATGTTGGGAGGGAGATTAGAGAGCTGGCAGAGGAATGAATAAAATCCCACTTGTTCTTCACACTTTCAGGACTATACTGCAACCATCTTCCTCCGTCAGCGCTGGCAAGATTCTAGGTTGGTGTTCCCCGGAAACGAGAGCGTGAGCGTGGATGGACGTCTGGTGTCTCTGCTCTGGATCCCTGACACCTTCATTCCAGATTCCAAGCGCTCCTTCCTGCACGACGTCACCGTGGAAAACCGCCTGATTCGCATCTTCAGCAACGGGACGGTTCTCTATGCCCTTCGGTACACAGCTCCACACGTTTTTTATGAGTCCCTTGTGAACAAGACCTGACCTGAGATATCACTTTGAAAAAAAAAAATAAGAACAGTTATTCAGGCATCCTCACACAGTAAATTCAGGCGGCGGCACTGAGTTTCTCTTTGGTGAATAACCCAACTGAGGGGAGATTGTGTGCTGGGGGTGATATTCATTCGGTTTGAGCACAAACAGACGTGCTGATTCATGACTTTGATGGCAGCTTCTCAATAATTCAACAGCCAGAAACTTTCCCTCATTTTTGCAAAAGGAGGTTTACAGAATATTTCCTTTGCAACTGTTTTGCAGTTTTAAACTATTTTAAAGTGAATATTTAATATCGGAGCTTATAAAAGAACTCCAACAAGTTAGAGCCTTCAACAAATATCCCTCATCAAATGCCAAAATGTGATGTCGACACATCACGTGTGAGCCTTTGATCGCTCCACTGTTGCTCAGAGGAGGAGAATTTGTTGTCTTTATTCATTTTTATGCTGCCTAATGCTACATCAAAAGAGAGCCCTTTTTTCCTGGCAAATAAAAAAAATGAAAAAACTTTATTCTGCTCTGACAACCCCAACAGCATCACGGCTACAATTGCCTGTAACATGGACCTGACCAAATACCCCATGGACAAACAGGTGTGCACCCTGCAGCTGGAGAGCTGTGAGTACTTCCCGTGCCTTCCGTCAAGTGTGTAGATGGGCATGAGCCATCATGTTCATCTCATGATAACCATCACCATTTTACTCATCGCCATCTTAGTGAGTATTAACCTGAAGAGAGGCAGTGTTGTGTTGCCCAGCAGGTCGGATTCTGTGAAGTGTAATGAAGTTCTGTTGCAATTCCCAGGGGGATATAACATACAGGACGTGGTGTTCTATTGGACCAGGGGGAATGACTCAGTTAAGGGTCTGGACACACTGCGGCTGGCTCAGTACAGCGTGGAGAGCTACTATACATCGGTGTCAGAGGCTGTGTATGAAACAGGTACAGTGTGAAGTCGTGTGACTTCCAAAAAGAAATAAAAAAAGGATACATCTAGAAGGATTCAAATCCAATCTTCATTTTTATCTCTTTGCACATCTTTATGGCTCTTCACAGGACATTACCCCAAGCTGGTGCTGCATTTTGCTCTGCGCAGAAACGTCTTGTTCTTTATCTTAGAGACGTATGTTCCTTCCACTCTGCTTGTGGTTCTCTCCTGGGTGTCTTTCTGGATCAGTCAGTCTTCTGTTCCAGCTCGAACCTGCATTGGTCAGTATCACACTTAGCACTTCTACTCATAATAAATATGTTACATAGATGGTTAAAAGTCTGGGAACAAGTGCTTCTTTAAGATATAGTTTGATACTGAGAATGAATCTTGCTTTCATGTAACATGGATGTATTTGTATGATGCTAAAAGCTGTATAGCTTGTTCAGAGTGCCTCAGTTTTGGAACGATTTCTTTGTTGTTGGGATACAATGAACATTAAAAGAAATTAAGTGTATTTTGCTTAAACACAAGGAAACCGTAATGATTATTCTACTGATTACTCAGGAAAGAAAAAAGAGGAACAGGTGCCACAAAATGTTTTGTTGGCAACGCCCCCAGAAACCTTTCTTTATCAGATAAATGAAGAGTTGTAAGCATTACAGTCCTGGTTTGGGACTATTTTGAAGTGCACTGAGGAACATAATCCTCCTTTTAACAATTATAGTCTGGTTTGAAACTGTTGGTACATACTGCATCAAAGATCTGCAAGTGTTTGTATTCAAGAGATTAATCATAAAGATAAAGTTCAAAGTAAACAATGAAAATTCACAGAGTTGGCCATCGCTTATATTAGGATAAAGTTTTAGTCTCTGTACGTGTTCAGTAGAATTAGGGTCTTTCTAAGTGTTCTTGCTTGGGGCTTAGCACAAAATACACAAAATATTTTTTTGTGTTGAAAACTTTGCTGCATGAGCAGTTGTTTGAAGTTAGCTTCGAAATCCTGACAACAAAGGAAGCAAAAGACAAGTAGGATGATGAAAGAATTTGTGGAAGACACTGAGGAGCTCAGAAAACTGTATTCATCTTCAAAACTAACTGATGGTAGGTGGAGAAAAAGCCATATACTCAGAGAGCAGGCCAGGAAAAAATTAGACCGACAGAAAGAAAATCAAGGAAAACAGAAAAAAATAACCTTCTGATCCATCTTTAGGGGTTACGACAGTCCTGACAATGACCACCCTGATGATGGGCGCCCGCACTTCCCTGCCTAATGCCAACTGCTTCATAAAGGCCATAGACGTCTACCTGGGCATTTGTTTCACCTTCATCTTTGGTGCACTGCTGGAGTATGCATGTGCTCATTTTTACACCATGCAGCACCAAACCATAGAGGAGTTACACAGGGTGGGAAACGCACACCACACTCAGTCGTTTTGAAACAGCACAATTCCACATCAAATGCTTAAACAAAACACACTTGTCGTTCTCAGGAGCTTCTGAGGGAGCTGAGCGATTCAAATGGAAACGGATCAATCCCCATGGTCAGCTCCAACCAGCCAAACCAGTCCGTGGAGATTGGCTCCACAGCAGAGGAGCCCGCGGCCAACCCGCTGGACAGTGACATTAAAAACCATGCCGCATCACGAGAAAAGGTGCCAAGTCAGGGTTGCGGCTTGTCCTCCGTGAGGGATGCATCTCGCCGGGCGGCATCTGTCTTCGTGGTGGAAAACCCGCACAACATCGATAGCCACGCCCGCACCGTTTTCCCCACAGCTTTTCTCTTTGTCAATATTCTGTACTGGCTTTATTATCTCTTTCTCTGAGTGCCGCGTCTGGTCTGTGGAATGGTGTAACTCACCACCCTAAAGCTGCTCTACCTCCTCTTCAGAGCTCCACTGCCTGGATCTTAACTGATCTCATGCAACCTTTTGTACCACACAGTTCAAAACCTTTTCATGGTTACAAATTGCTTCATTTAGTTAGTCAGGACCGAGCTTGGCTCTGTATTGAGAGGCATCATTGATCATGTGTAAGTGGATGGTCCTCAACCAATAAACATAGGAGAGGTGATAAAGGCTTGATTACCCACCAATTCATGTATCCACCAAAGGCGAGTTCTTTCTAAACAGCTGAAATACTCTGCTGCATTACTCTGCATTCATGTCGATGTTTACCTTTTTTTTTTTCTTCCCGTCTTGCTTTGGTTATAATGCATTGTTGGTCATGAGAAAAAAAACTGTATCCTCACTTCACAGTGTACAATTGTGCAATTAAAACAATGATAACTGAAATGACTAAGCTTTATTGGTTTATTTACATGGGAAAGGCTTTAAATGTGTGTGGGGCATCAAACAACTGAAGTTTGACCGGTTAGACAATAAGATGCAAGTTTATTGGTCCCTCATCCAGGTAAGTAAAGTGCAAAGTCGACCACAGATTCAACAGAGAAGGTGTTTCAATGAATTAAAGTTTTTAAAAATGAATTTGCATCACATACTGTACAAGCACCACTTTGTTAGTAATTCAACTGCATATAATACAAGACAATTCTTTTTGACTGTGTGCCAAAGACAGTCAAGCGGACACCAGACTCTGATTTAATTACGAAGGCTGCTTCCATCCAAGCAGAGAAGTGAGCTGCAACAGGAACTAAAGGTCACGCGGCAGCACTTTTCCAGGCAACTGAACATCCATGTCTCAAATGGTACCGAGCACATTTTCTGACATTCAGAAAGTTTGGATACTTATCCATTAGGGTGGTTTTTGATGAACCCAAATTGCAGCCGCATTCTTTAAAAGCACCAAGTAGATGAAGAAGAGGAATCTCGCATATTCCACTGCGAAATTACTCATGTTATCCCATGTTATCCAATTTTGATTTTATTTTTGGTCTATTTGGCTGAATGGGCATTAAATGAAGGACACAATAAAGATTTTATGCAATTTTTGCTTTCTGTATGTTAAAACTTTGCACACTGCTGCATGCCACTGATAATGACAAATAAGAAACTGTGAATGTATGAAATAAAGGAAGCAGCAGTCATTGGGCACTATGTAGGCAGAGGGAAAATGTGGAATTACATACAGAGCATATCAAATCCAACTCTCGCCCATCTGATCCTAACATCACATTACTCAACAGTCAAACATGCCGTTGCTGGGGTCACTATTCATTGCACCAAAGTCTGTGCACTCCCTCTATTCTTCATTCACTTTCTTGTCTCTTTTATGCCTGAGCTCCACTTTCTACCTTCCTTTTTTTTTCCACATTTCTAATGGTTCCACACAAGACAATAAAGATTCTTGGATGCAGAGTGTGATACAAGAGTTCCAAGAGTAAATATTCAGTGAGAAAGTACCTCCACCTAGTGGCTGATTTTGTCCTTGCAGTTTGCATGTCCCCTGTAATGTAAAATGACACATCTGCCTTTCAGGGGCTGTGGGTTGAAAAAAACCCACACACTGATATCCATTAAGCCTCCAGTCCATTCCTTCAAATCCTGTCCTAGGTTCCTTTCTTTGACTCCCATTCCTGTGACAGAAGATTGGTTGATTATATTGAAACAAGTTTCAAATCATAGTGTAAAATATTGTATGCACTTATTAGCTCTTCTTAAAAAAACAAACAATTACAAAACAAAAAAAATCTCAATTTCCTAAGCCTTAGCAAAAATGTGAATGTGGGTGTGGGAAACAAATGAAAGCAAAAGCAAATATCCCCACACACCACTCTGAGAGATTGTTCAACAACGAGTGAGCGGGAATCTGATCATCCTCACCTTTGCTTTCTGCATGACTGTTCCAGAGGAGGAGGCATAGACGGACGGTGGTCTCCTTCGTATTTCTGAGGCACAGTTCACAGGTAAAGAATTGCTGTAGATGTTCTGGATTGTTCTGTTGGACCCCTACACATGGTCAAAAGAAAAGAGGTATTTTCATTTCCTGACATCCAACCATCCTAAAACTACAAAGGTCAAAATCATCCAGCATTAGAGCTATGTTCTTGTCCCAAACACAACTGAAAACCTTCCTATTCTTGTGTGACGTTTTAAGTTTTGTTTTTGTTTCTTTATGCCAGCTTTTGGGGTAGCAGAAATATGTTGCATAAAGTGGTTTACTTTAAGAACAACACTGACCATCCTCCTCATAACCTCATGTTAAAACAATAGTGCTATTAGTTTAAGGCTCATTCTGCTATGCTGCAAGAAAGAGAGATACAGGAGGGCCTTCTTGCCAGCAGCCATAACAATTTATGTCAAATGTTCATTTTCTCATGTCTTTTTTCATTCAGCAGTCAAAAATCTGCCACGCAGATTTTTCCACACGAGCCAATAAACATACTTTAACAGGAGGTTTGCCCTCCACGGGCACACCCAGCGCTCCACCTGCCAGGCTCTTCTTTAGGTTTTCTTTGACTTGAGTCAGTCGGAGTTCCAAATCCACCCTCTCCGCCTCTTTGGCTCGGCAGGTATCCTCCAGCTGGGATACATGCTTGTTGAGGAGGGGCTTCCTCTTATCTGCTCCATTCAAACAAATATAACAGGTATAATCATAAGACTTTGAAATTAATCTTTTTATACAGTATATATATATATATATATATAAAACTTTTCAGGACAGTTTTTTGGACTTAGAAATGTGCCTTGTTTTTTATTTTTTAGAGGAACGTGGCCTCTACCACTAAAGACAACATACAGTGCAGCTACAGGAAATTATGACACTAATGACACCATGACGACATTTTCGAAGTCACATTATTGGTTTTAATAAGTATAATTTTATTTATCCCTGTGGGAGAATTTCCTCTCACATGACCCTTTAATAATGGAGGTCAGTGAGCAGCAGCAGACAGAGAGATGATGAGGTATGTACACTAGACATGTTTTTATTAATGTGATCTTCATCTTTGTTCCAGGTTTTTAGGAAACCATTTGCCATTTTTCTTTAGCTTAAATCTGAAAAAAAATTGCACATTGATGCATGTTCTAGTCACGTTTTTCATGTATTGGAGTGATCTTGGTTCTAGTCATTTTGATTTATCTTATGCAGTCCTGGATTACCCATCATTAATTTCTAAAGTACATGTTTTCTGTTTAGCCTTTTTGGAACTTACCAGAGGCGGTCTTCAGCTCTTCCTTCCTCTCCCTCTTCTCCTGTCGGAGAGTCACGAGTGCATTTCGGATCCCATCCCTCTCCCTTTCCAGCTCCTCTTTTTCTCGGAGGTACCGCTTGGCATCCTCCTCTGCTCGCGTTTTCCCATACTTTCCATACTGGTTGGCATCTGTGGGGAAGCAAAGGTGAAGGGTCAAACGTGCAGGGGTTGTGGGAAAAAGATGAAACCCCTTGAAATGATCTGTCATCCTACCTATGTGAGGAACACAACAACACCTCTGTAAGGCACAAACAAATAAGGCTTGATTAGACCTTTTTTAATACACAAGAAAAAGAAAGCTCTCAGAAGATGAACCATCATTTAGACTGTGAAGAAAAGACAAACACACACAGTCACACAGAGTGAGAGGTCATGAGGTGAGCCAGCAGATCTAATGCGAGTGTCCTATAAATCTCAGGTTACATCCTGAGGCTCTCAACCCTGGAAAGTGCTGGGCCCTTTGATGTATACGTGCGTTGCCTCAGTAGAGAAAAATGAGCAAGTTAGCAGCACTAATCTCCACTCGTACAGCGATACACAACAGTGCAGAGGGAAGAGGGGAAAGCAAAAAAAGGAGCCATCACGGCTGGAAAATGAGAAGATGATCAAGAGGAAAAGAAGACATATAGAGCCAGCTGGAGGCTAAGATTACATGACTGAGTGAACTGGCTCAACAAGGGAAGGGGTGTGTGGAGCGTGTGAGCTTTAGCAGCACACAAGCAGTGGAATCTATGACCAGTGAGCTGCATCTACAATATATTCAAAGCAGTGACTGCCGGTTGCTTGTTTCCCATCTGCCATGGACTTGTGAAACAGATGAAAAATAATGACGTGTAGAAAGCTGAAAAACCACGGAAATATCCATATTGAAATAACTACAAGGTCCAGGGGGATCCATTCAGGACTTTTCTTTCCTGATGACAACGCATGCCATCTGTGCGGCATTTCGATTATTGACTTCAGTACAGATGTCATTTTCTATACAAAAGACCCAAAGAGCTGATGGTAAATAAAGAAGTCAACTCTTATTTTAAAAGTTGATACGGCTTTTCTGCCAGCACGATTAAGAAGTTACGTTTTCTCCTCTTTTCTTTAATGTTTCTAGCTTTTATTGCATTGTATTTCATGGCGGTGGTAGAATACTGGAGCGATGCTCTGGGCTACATCTGACCATATCAAATGACTGGCTTTTTTTTTACAAGTCCCACTGGTCTCTTCTGAGTTTGGAAAATCTGTGTTTAGCTTTTAAACTCCAACTTTATGGATCTCCTCACAAAGTAAACTGAACATCAAAAAGAGCCTTTTTTAAATTAATCAAATGTAGCATGTCATACATTACAATCTTTCCATGTACCTTTTCAATGTGTGTCATTAACTTGATTTTGACTAAACATATTCACACTCGCGACTGGTTGTAATGTTTACTGTGTTGTTTACAGTGTAATTTGTTTATAGTATTTACTTTACTCATCAGTGTCTATGAGAGACAGCACTTGATTCATTTTGAGCTCATATAACTCAATTGAAAACTGGAATCCTGGGCAGTTTACTAGCCTGTAACATTTTGTAATTTAAAATCTTCAATCAGCATGATATTTTGTCAAAATTAATCAACGCAACATTTTCAACATTGTATCTCTATGATGGTCACACCATGTTTTAATTGTGAATTTTGCCCCAGGCATGAGTTCAGTCTCCAACAGGGCACCCCTGCGAACCTGAGAGCGTGCGCACTCCAAGCGACATTCCACTGCGTTGCACTCCATCTGGTGAAAATAAGCCATGAAAAACCAAGTAAACACACTCACTGGAGCCTGTTCGCTTGAGGGAGACTGACGGCTTGGTTCTGTCGGAGTCGCTGCTTGAGAAACTCGAGCGTCGCTTCGCTTGATTCCCAGGCTGCTGCTTGCGGTTCTCCCTTGCCTGGGTGGAGTAGAGAGAAGATGGGAGGGGGTCACCACAGATGTTGGAGCATGAGGACAGAAGGGGGGGGAAACGAAAGGCAATACTGGTGTGTAGGACTTAGCAGCAAACTAATCCCGCGATGTACTGATAAGATTCTGCTGAGGAGTGAGTGTTTTTGGCAGTAAGTGGTGAAAGGTGTCGGTTTAAGTGCATGTCAGAGGGGTTAGGATGGGGTTTTACAAGCCGTAAAACCTGCTATGACCTCTAGCCCTCCTTTCACCAGTCAGAACATGTTCTCGATCCTTTTTAATTGAAGCCACCTCCGCCGTCTCTCCCACTTTTCTGAAAACAGGCATATAATGGCGCGCCGCCTGTCTATTTGCGAGACTGCCACCGCAAGTCTCCCTCAGACAGAGACGCTCCCCGACAGCTGCATTTGCACACACAGCTTCTAATCCGATCACATCAAAGCAAAGCATTTCACACTGATCTCCCACAAATATGCGTGCGCATCTGAGCACATGTGGCCCACCTGTGTGTCCTCATTGGGGACCTCATCGTACGTTCTGGAATCCGTGGAGGTGCTGCTGGAGGAGGTAGCCCACCTAGGATCAGAGGGAAAAGGAGAAAGACAGAACCCGCATGAGGTCAAAACACCACCGCCGGGCCGTGACTTGGTCGAAACAACCACAACCCCAAACTTCGTGGGACTAACAGGAAGGAATGCCGTGCAGCGTCCCGAATGTTGGCGATGGTTTCCACGTCAACGTAGTCATAGTGCAAAGACTCTGGGTCTGTTGCAGAGCCCGTTTCTGCCAACAGGACGCCGAGCCACCGTCCCAGCTCCTCAGAGCTGCCCGCCTGATGGAGGAAAGACAAAGAATAAGTTTGATTTTAAATGTAAAATTGACAATCTTGACCATTTCCATGTAAGCACATCATTTTGTCTTGCTTTTATCAATGGGGGATGTGGAGGAAGCCTGGGCAGGAGATGAAAAAAAAGAAAATCAGCATATTATTAGTCCTTACTTTGTGAGTCAAATATTCCTCATCTTTTAAGTTTGCTTTGATTTTCACCCACCCAGAAGAAAAACATCTGGCTAATTAGCTGATTGCCACTCCTTAGTGGATTTTTATTAAAGATTCCTAAGTGACAACATCTGTGTGGTGCTGGCCAAGATGAGGCTGATGAGTGGGCTGAAACAGCTCCAACAGCATCACATTTCAGAGCACTGCTCACTCTTTTGACAATTTCCTGACATAAGCTGAAGGAATTGCTCTTTTCAAATGGCACACCACCCTTTCAGATACCCTAAAAACATTCCAGCGTCGCGAACAGTTTTCTACCTCCAGAGCAGCCACTTCTGTGCAGTTTCGCAGAATACGAAAGGCAAATGGGTGTTTAGGCCCGAGGCCCGGAACCACCTCGCAGCCATGGAGAGGAAGGGATGGCAAGGTGGTCCGAGGGTCTCCCCTGTCATGGTAGAAATACAGGGAGCCTCTGCACACACAGCACCACTGCTCTCGCCACACTTGGTTCACCAGTACAGACAGGTAGCCTGTGGGGTAAAGAGGGACAGAAAAGTGACCAACTGCTAATTCGGACGCCCAAAGAGTGACAGGCAAGCAAGTCGTTACCCTGCCGAGGGTCCCTGAAGGTGGACCGAGGGTCACCGGGCCGAGGGGGTTTCTTTTTGGAGAAGCTGATGATGCGTGTGATCTTGCGGCCCGCAGCGAAGGCGCCCCGTTTAACTTTACCTGCACAGACAGTACAAAATGATTCAGCTGTCCAAATGTGTCCAGTGTCTCAGTTAAGCGAAAGTGTGAGTCTGCTCTCTATCCTCAATCCGGAGCCTTCACGTGCATGTCACAGTTTTTAACCACGCATATTCCACAAATATGGTAATCCTTTCCAGTCTATAGCGAGACATCAATCTTTGTGTGGCAGAGTGGAAAATGTCTGGCTAACTTTAAATGAGCAAAGGCCTCTGAGCTCATCGGGCTTCTGTGTACCAAACCAGCGTGAAGAACCAGCTGCAGCGAGAGGCCCCCCTGGTGGGTCTCCATCAGTTGGGAAAACAGAGCAACACTTGAACATACCATGAAGACAACTTCCATCTGTCAGCCAGGGCATAAAATGTCAGAGTGCACCAGAAGACTTAGTTTGCTTTGTGCAGAGGAGATTGATTGCATGCGCGCTTATGGCGGCATGCGTATTAGATTGACAAGAGAAATGGGTAAAACTGTACAGATTCTAGAAAAAGATAATGTTTTTGCTGCCATTATTCATTATGGTTTCACATCTGTGCCGATAAGCTGAAATGGACCATTGGAGAATGCATTTGACAGAATAAAGGAGATAGATGTGCTTTCCATACCAGCATGACAGATAGACTGACATACACCTAGAATTTCAGATGTTCCTGATGACAGAGAGTCTGAGATCTCCTACCAGTGAAGACTGTGAGGGAGAGCAGCTGAAAAGGTTTGTGCGGGTAATCGTGGGTTAATATATCTGGCTCACCGTTCTCCCTGCTGTTCTCTCCGGCCGACACTCCCACGCTGTCTGAATCGGATGTGTTCCTCTCTGCAGATAGCCTCTGAGGGAGTAAACACACAATCACACACTCAGACTTTCACCTGGAGAGCCACAGTCACCGCATGCTCTGTCCCCTCTGACCATAAATGCACTGTAAAAATGTCAGCATGTTGTCACCTCTTAAAAAGCTAAATATCTACAATCATGCCGCCCCCTTCTCCTTCTCTCATCACAGGGGGAAAGAAATGACACGGTGAGACACTTCCAGATTTATTGTGTCTGTGACAAATTGGCATGTTTTAGAGCTTCTGCCTGCACAAACAATGACTCAATGATCTCCACCCCCCCCGCCACCTTGTTATTGTTGCCTTAACACCCAATTACTACACAAATCTACCCTTTTTTTTTGCAACCAAAAAACAGGTCTCATACCAAACTGCTCAAAGCCAAACAGCTGTTGAGAAAAAACGATAGTGACAGGGAAAACACCACTTAGGTCAGAAGCTATTTTATCCTCCCCTCGCCTTTAAAATGAACAAAAGCGACAGGAGCCTCCCGACGCTAATGCCCCTCCACGCCTACCTTGTCCAGTTCGTTTTTCCGCAGAATGACAGGGGACGCTCGCTCATCGGTCACTACGCTCTGGCCGCTCACCTCTCTGACAACCTGGGAAGAAATTTCACGTATTTTACCTTTTACAACAGCGCGGTTAGGTTTTTCTTTTTAGCAATTGCTGTCACAGTGAGACCGTGTGTACCGTGAGCCATGTGTGAGCCTGCTCCTTGCTCTGCACTGCCAGCACCAGAGCGTCTCCATTGGGTAACGTGAACCTCAGCTCATGGTGCTTTCTCTTGCTGTCCTTTGGAACGTAGACTACAGTGCATTGGGGCAACAGCAGGTCCACATAGGGGCATGAGTCTTTGGAACTCTTGTAGCACTAGATAAAAGGGAGCACATGTTAAAAAGAAGGGTAAAAAAAACATAAAATCTAAGTTACCGATAATAATTCTGACCATGTGAGACTGCTCACCTGAAGCCTGTTGTCCCGTATGACGGTCAGCTGTTTGGACCACTGGCCGAAGCGCTTCTTTCGCAGCAGGAAGGCACAAATGCGACAGTCTCTGGCAGGAGGCATGGAGCTCTCGTCCGAGGGCCACTGATGAGTGAGCTGAGCGCCCGGGCTCCTCTCTTCCTCGTCCTCTTCGTAGGACTCGTAGGAACTGCTCAGGGCGTCAGAGTCGTTGTCTAGAAGCAAAGGAGAAGAAAGAGGACAATTGAGTCGTTTAAAAAAAATTATTAAAAAATGGAGCAGTCATTTTTTTGTATGGAACTGTTGTCGTGTTCTTGGCTCACAGGAGTTTTTGCGCTGCGAGTTTACACAGGTAGCTGGGTAGCTGCTTTCAGCATCTTCATAGCCATCTTCTATAGAGTTGGGAGGGCTGGGCCTTACTGGAAATGAATTAAAAAATATATTTTTCATGCATATTGGAACAATGTGTTTAGACAGTTTAAGTCCTGGCAAGGTGGATTTAACAGGAAAAACTAACAATAGGTTCAGCAGGTTCAGCTGATATGGGAGCATGCTGACCTCGTGTGATTATATACTCAGGCATCTTGCCAGGACCGAGGGGCACTGCCTCCTCATAGTACTCCTCGGGGGGAGGCGTTGTGGGCAGAGGGGGAGGAGAATCAGCCGAGTGTGCACAGCTCTACAATGGTAAGACACATAAACATAAGCATGCTCAGATTTTGACCATGGCAACTTTTTCTTTTTCAAAACCCAAACAGCTACAGTGTGTAAAACCCAACAGTAAACGATCCCTCTGAATTAGACAAGTGGGCGGATCGGTAAATCCTCTTTCTTGCAACTGTCTGATGAGCATGTGAAGACTGGAAAACCCCACATACTGTACATGGAACACAATCCCTCTGTACTTCATTGCCTCATCTTCACAAGCCATTAAGCGCCAACTTTGGTGTAAAGTTCGATGAGACACATTTGAAGCTAGAAGGGATGGGGAAAGGTTTAATACGCATTTTCCACTCGCCTCTTTTAAAGTATCGGTTTCGTGTTCCTTTTCTTCTTTGAGATCATCTGTAACATCCTTTAGGTCTCCAAGCTCGCAATCTGTACAATACACAAAGAAGAAAAGAAAAAAAGAGTTAAAAGTTGCTTCTGAACCTCAACCTAATGCATAATATGAACACAATTTAAGATATACAACAGTGAATTTTAACATCACGCACCAAAAGTATCAAAGAGAGACTCAACAAAGCTTGTCCCGTTTCTGTACACTGTTGAGTTCACATAGATGTAGTCTGTGCCAGACACTGAAAAGTAGAAGGTAGAAACCACAAATATTAGCATCAATGGAGCATTTGCAGAATTCCACGCTAAAGGTAAGACCTTAGAACGCATGAAACCTTCTCTCTGCTCTCTTCTTTAATGCACACGCATCTATCACACATTTTTCCAGTGATGCTGCTTTAGAATCACTTGTTCAAACTCCTTCCACTGACCTGACGGCTGGATCTGCTGAAGGAGCTTCCACACCGAGGTCTTCTTCTCCTGGGTGGAGGAGCTGAGGTGCTCCTGGTCCAGCATCCTGAGCAGCGCTCCCAGCTCACTCACCAGCACCTCCATGGCTACACAGAGAGGGGGGCAAAAGGTCAGCAAGGCACGACTGCAGTTTATAAGCAGAGAGGGCAAAGGTCAGACTGACAAGTCTAAACAAATCCAATGTATACGTCCGAGAGCCGGTTTGAGGGTCGCTCCGTTTGTGTCAGTCTTCCATTTTTATTACAAAGCCAATATCCATCTCGTGAGTCAACACAGAGTCCTCCCCTTCTGCAAAGGCAGACTAAACAGCAACAACGGGCTTCAGTGACAGGAAATGTTTTTTAACATTTGTTAATTGCCAGTTATGCTAGAAAAGTAAGTAGATCTGGGGCGAGCAAAAATAACAAGCATGTGCAGATGTTGCTGGAATAAGAGCAGAGAAAAGCAGCTCTGAAATGCACTTGGTTCACAGACAGATGGGCATAAACACACATTTCAGCTGTCACTTGCAATCATGAGAGAGTAAATGAACTGTGCGGCCCAGGCTGTTGTTAGCAGAAACTTGAGCTCATGCCCTCTGACTCGTCAAATGGATAAGCACATATAGTGCATGGGAGGGAAATGCATGGAATACTCACAGGAATAACTTATGGACCACACAACAGAGCTCAAATCGAGCCAGCAAGCACATATTCACTGACAGCCACTGACCTTATTTCTAAACCAAACAGTTGGCATTGATGTAGAAAAACACAGGTTCACAAAGGATTCACAAGTTTCTCCAGGTTCTGTCACGTTTAGGGCTCAGATTAAAGGAATATATGATTCTCATCATGTGTTGATCTGAGAGGCTGGACTGGCCCACACCCTGTTTTCAGAGGAAAACCTAAATAAACCATCTCAAACCCCCATCCACTGGACGCCGTGAGAAAAACTTAACCCTCTTCTGATAGGAGTGTTCGGATTCCCCCATTGTCCCACCCTCAGCCACCAAGCAAACCAATCAGCCGCCGCACCCAGCACGCTCTTCCACCTCGTTAATTCACCTCCCAATTCCTCCATTTAGTCCCCTAACTCACTCCTCCCTTTGCTACTCTTTCACAGTCCGATCCCCTTCGGAGCTGCTGAAGCGTGCGCCTCGCAGGGGTCAGACATGGGCCAGCCGCTGAGCCAGAAAAGTCTTTGTTCAGCGGGCGGTCTTATGGCAACAAGACCTGTTGCACTGAAAACAAGGCAGACACGGGCCCGTGCACAGCACCCACGCACACACACACATGCACACGCATGCTTATGGTATGTACTTAGTGAGGTGTGTCTACAGTGAACTTTGGTCTATTGGTTTAGAAAAAAGCACTCAATTTAATACTGTGTGAGTGTGCATGTTTTTTATGACTCTTGGGTGTTTTAGTCCAAGTCACAGCTAACAAGTTGGTAAACTGGACGATAGATCTATCTAACATTTTGGCAGTGGTGCATGCTTTTGTGTAAGTCATCCCACTTCTTAAAGGCTGACATACTTTCCTGAGGTGGGTCTTCCTATGGGCTTAACAATGCCCTCTCGACAGCCCCAGCAGGCATGTGTTTGCCTGTGTCTGTTCAAACATTCTGGATTGCACAGCAGAGTGGCTTCCTTCCATTGTAAGGGTAGCATGTTAACAGTCTGAGGAGTGGGCATGAGGAATTAATTCATCCAGGAATCCGGAATGTCTCCTCATTAAGGTCCTATTCACCCTGGGGGAAAGAAGGAAGTCGAGTTCATAGAGTTAGAGAAAGCTCATGAGAGTGGGACGTCTTGGCCTGGTGAACGTAGTCCCTTCTGCCAGCACTTCCAGCTGTTTAGATTTTGGTTGTAGCGTAGCACTGGGCTTCCCCTAAACCGAGTGTAAGACAAAACCTTCCACAGCATGACTCACTCGCTGCATGGAGAAATTGAAATTTACACCAGTCAGCATTAAATCAAATATAACACAGAAATCAAAGCGGCGCTTTCAAGGAGTTGGCGTGAAATGGAACGCCGTGCTCGTAAAAAAGCCGTTTCGCTGTTTCATTTGGACCAGCTCTTTAAAGAGCTCATTATCCAATCGGATGATTACAGAGGATTAAGGTTGTGCCAAAAAATGACTGCGGAGGAACTGCTTTGCAGCATTTGGCGTGTAAGGCGCAGAGGACCACCCTTAAAAACAGCAGTGACGCCTTCAGCATCAACACTTAAATCCCTGATTTGGTTCCAAGACATCTAAAACAGCACGGGATCCTCTAAATCAACTGTACGTGTGTGTGTGTGTTTGGAACGCCTGCCTTTGATGCTTTGTAAAATCAGATAAAAACCCCATTCTTGATCCAAACCTCCATGCGCCCGAGCTTCCGGAGTATGACGGCGCCCCATAAAACAGGCTGAATGAGGTTCAAATGAAGTGAGAATCAGATATCGCAGCTACGTGAGGGTGCCTGGCCGGCTTAAGTTCTCAGGAAAAATAAGCAGTTGAGCACAATGAACGTAGGAGTAAGATTAAACACTTGCATGGATTGAATCCTTTGCACTTTACTGACACGGTGAAAAAAAGAAAAAGAAAAGAAGAAGAAACCAGCCACAGTGCATTTTTGAGTGTAGACTTTTGCGAAGCAGTGAGAGTTGTTTGTCTGACACTGCAGAGTCAGGCCTTTTACGGGGGAGCTGCCATTTGCAGCCTCCCAGCACCAACTCTGTAGGGGATGGAGGAAAGGGTGGGGGCAGAGGGCTGTGTAGCATTAGCGACCTGAGCACCTGTGCTAACATGTCCAACAATTCACATCTAAGGAATAATGTGCCTTCAATCCGGTACGCACAGGTTTTCTTCTTTTTTTCTTGTGGTTTTTCACACACACGCGCACACACACACACATGCACGAACACACACACACCAGAGTTCCCTCTTGCTTAGTTTACTCTCCATGCTATGCAATGCAAACACAAATAACTTTACTGTGTGTGGAAAGAAACCGGCACCAGCTCCATTTCATAACACCATTGTTTGCAGGCAATCCAAATAAAAGCACAAGAATGCGCAATACGCAAAGGCCTTGGGGGATAAAAAACAAACAAACACAAAAACATGAGATTGTTTCATGACTGAGTCTGGTTGGCAAACTGTTGCTTTCCAAACAAATCAACAGAAAATCCTCTCTTGGTGTTTCAGCAAAGCAAGCAAATAGACAAATCTTAAAAGAAACATAACCTGCTTTCCAAATAATTTCCACCACAGATGAGACACCTTTGCATCCCTCAGAACCTGGATGTTTTTCCTCTCTGCTCAAATCTTGGCAGGTATTACTTTAGCTGGATATACTGTTCCTTGTTCTTTACAAAATGCACAGATGATTGTTTCTGACTTACACTCAGCTGCTGTAGATGAGAGTCCCACCATTCTTCAAAGTTACAGAGGAGGTGAAGAGCTTCATTCATACACAAAACAGACACTGTAGGTATATATTCCACTCTCAAAGCCTCCCTGTGTGCTCTCTCCTCTGAAGCCTTTGTATTGGAGGCTAGCTGCAGTCTGCTGAGTTCACACTCCCTTTACCTCTCCCTTCCTCCATCTGTTCTGTTATCTCCCTCTACCTCCCTCTCACACTCTAGCTCCCCTCCTCTTTTTTCCTTTAGTGGTGCTGGTGGGGGGGGGTTGGGGTATAAGGGGATGGTGGTGCTCTGTAATCCTGGGGATTGTATAGCACCTGGGTAAGTCTGGCTGTGTAAACACACGGGCTGACTAATAGCTAACCAACATTCTTTATTCTTTCACATTCCTCCCCCGAGTTAACATTATTAACCTTTAACTGGCTGCACACAGTGTTTGCCACACACAAAAATGCCAGTGAAACCAGTTGCAGCACGACACGGCACTTAAGTTCTACGTTAAGAGAACTTTAACAGAACTTTAACATCATCACTGATGTATAGGAATATTTTTACTGACTTTTTAAATGAGGCTGAAACATTCCCAAACATGTGTAAATGGAATTTCCTGGAAAATGTTAAGTCAAAGACTGAAGCGGAGGCAAGTTGAGACCTTTAAGAGTTACATGTGTAGGAGCTGCTGCCTTGGAGAAGACAGGACGCAACACGCTGTCCTCATCAGTCACACAGACACAAACGGCTCCCAGGTACACACTGTCCGACACACAACTGCATGCAGTACTGCGGAGTGGAGCCAACATGATGTGTTGTTTCTTCTGAGAAAAGGCCATTACTGTCAGCCGGTTGGCCTGCGAAATGTTACGCTGATATACTGAACACGGACAACAGAAGTCAAACCGATGTTTTGAATCTGATCATATCCCTGGTGACCAAAATGATCCAATTAAACGTGCTTTAGTTAGAGAAATACACTTGGGATATCAAGCTTTCTCACTATGAATGGGGATAAAATGACCACAGTAATAAGAAAAAAGACACAGGTTGGTTAGTTCAGCTGAGCAAGTTGAATGGGAGTGAAATCATACCTTGGCTGTAAAGCTGATTGTAGAAAACAAAGTTTATTACCTCTAAAATGTACAAGAGTCCCAAATACAAGATAAGGTTTGGCATACAAACTTTTGCATATTAGCATCACAATTGCACTGGTCCAAAACAAACCTCTAAAGTTGTCAAGAGTACAAAAAAATTGTAACAATAATTTATTTTAATAGTAGTGTTTTAATAGTAGTGTTAAATCACAGTTCTATAAAATCTTGAAATGTAAAAAAAAAAAAGACAGATTTTCCTCCTGGAACTTATATCATCATCAGGTTTGTGTATTTCTTTTCAAAACTATTCTGTACATTCTGACATATGAAACAAAAGTTTTGAAATGTTAACACTATGCAGCGCACAGACCTACAAGGGCACTATTTGGATAAAAATAGAAGTGTAAAAGTAACAGTCAAGCACAAAAATATTGGGATAAAAACAATGGTCCTGGATTTGTGCGCTGACAGTTTGTGGACAGGTTCGCAAACACGTGTTTTTGCTCACAAGTTATATGTCAGTAATTTTCATACCAAGCCAACGCAATTTTCAGCTCGACTCGCTCTGAATTCCAGGTCTATTTGATGTTTTGCTGAGTTATCA